TTCAAATCAGGAAAGGTGTGTGCCAGGGTTGTATCCTCTCACCACACTTATTCAATTTTTATGCTGAGCAAATAATTAGAGAAGCTGGAAAACATGAAGAGAAATCCAGCATCATGATTGAAGGAAGGTTCATTAATAGCCTGTGATATGCAGATGAGGCAATCTTGTTTGCAGAAAGTAAGGACATGAAGCATTTGCTAAAGAAAATCAAAGATCGCAGACTTCAATATGGATCACAACTCAAAGAAACTGTAAAGAAAGCCAAAATTCTCACAATTCAACACCAATAAATACCATCATGATAAACAGAGAAAATATTCAAATTGTCAAGGATTTCATCTTGCTTGGATACCCAATCGATGGAAGCATGCAGTCAAGAAATCAAACAACGCATTGCTTTGAGTAACTCTGCTACAGAAAACCTCTTTAGAGCATTGAAGTGCAAAGTTTTCAACTTGAGAATGAAAGTGTGCCCGATGCAGGCCATGATATCTTCAATCACTTCATATACATATAAAATTTGGACATTGAGTAAGCATGACTGAACAATTGAGCATTTGAATTAAGTGCTGATGAAGAGTGCTGAAGGACCATGGACAGTCAAAAGAACAAACAAATCGATCCTGGAAGTAAGATAGCCCAAATTCTTCTTGTAGAGATGGTGAGATTTTGTTTCTTGTTCTTTGGCCATATTATTAGAAGAGACCAATCCCAGTAAAGGACATCATGCTGGGTAGAGTGGAAGGGCAGTGAAAAGAGGAGGACTCTCAAGAAGGAGTGACACAGTGGCTATCAAAGTGGCTCAAACATAAGAACAATTGTGAGGATGCCACCGGACTGGGCAGTTTCATTCTGCTTTACATTAGGGCTATTGTGAGTCAGAACTGAACGATGGCACCAAGCAACCCCAATAAAAATACAGCAATTTCTTTTGGAACAAGATAATACCCCATCTTACAGTACCCCATTTATTGCCTTAATTACTATTCTGACATATTCGCACATGCCCTATCGTCTACCTATCTATCTAAACCAAAGGGACAAAGGAAGGAAGACGGGGGGAGCTGGGAGGGGGGGTGGACAAAGGAGGTGAAAGGGAGGAAGAAAGGGAGAACATGAGAGGGGAGAGGGGAGAGAAAAGAGTAAGAAAGAGAGAAGTCTCATATGTTTTATTTTGACTACAGCTCAGACTAGAGGTTTTCTACGCATACTTTGTATTTTTATGCTTTATACTTATAAAACCTGTGATTTGAGCCCCACCCCTACCCCAACTGCCACTTCCAGGTCTACATCTCCCTCCATACTTTTTTTCAAAACTCAGAATACTGGATGCCCTGTAAGGTCTGCACTCAACAAACATGAAGTAATGGGACCTCTGGTGTGAGTAGTAAAAGAAATTGAATGGAAGGAATGCTATTTTACAGAAGAGAGGTTGATAAAAGGTCAATCATCTGTACAATACCTAGGAATTGGAAATTCCCCTAAGAAGTCCAGGATACAAAAGCAGATCAATCCAAACACATTTGGGGAATTTCCTGCTGGATGTGACACCAGGAAGGAGAAAGAGATCACTCTTAAAGACGTCTTCTACCACGCAGGCAGCTTTCGCTGATATTCTCTGTCCCCACCTAACAAGCCCCTTACATAAAGGCCGGAAAAAAAGGTACGTTAAAGGGTTGTGGGAAGTGAGAGAGAGAAGGAGGAGTGATGAACTTAGAAGTACATTCGAATAATAAATGTATTGCCCAAATAAAGTTAGGGTTGGCAGAGATATAAGAACTGATCAATAGATTTCCATATCCCTGACAAATCAAACAAAAGAACATAGGATTTCACTAAATAAGAAAAATAGAGGTTGGAAATTAGGCACAATTTCCTCTAGAGCGATATGACACTCAGGACTGAAGCCTAGTTATTGCAGAATTGTCAGAATCTACACTGTGTGTCTCTTTTCCTGAAACGACTTTATTTCAGGGAAATGAAAATAAAATTAATCATCAACAGAGCTATAAAAATTGGGGAGGTAAATATAAAGAGGAAAGTGTCTCTCTTGGTGAAAGTTGAAGTGCTATTTTCGAGATAACTGCATGTAGCCACACTTAGCACTTTTATATGAGTCCTGGTGACATAGTGGTTAGCGTTGGGCTGTGATCCTCAAGGTACACAGTGCGAAACCTGCATTTTCTATTCCCGTAAACAGTTCCAGCCTAGAAACTCACAAGGGCACCTCTACCCTGCCCTATAGGCTTGCTCTGAGTCGGCATCGAGTCGGTGACACTAAATCTGGTTTGTTTTTGTTTTGCTGTATTAAGGAGCCCTGGTAGTGTAGGGGTTATGCATTGGGCTGTTAAATGCAAGGTCAACAGTTCAAAACTACCGACCGAAATGAGGGAGAAAGTTGAGGCTTTCTACTCCTGTGAAAGAGTTCGAGTCTTGGAAACCCACAGGGACAGCTCTCTCCCCTGTCCTTCAGTGGGAATCAAATAGATGGCAGTGAGTTTGGCTTTTGAGGGACTTTGCTTGTTGTTTTTGTTTTTCTGTATTGGCTCCTCGATTCTGCCCCTTTACAAACAAGTGTGTAACAGAAATGGTGGAGAAGCTTCAAGGCAGCCACAATGCTTTACTGAGGATGACTTTGATCTGAAGACATGAGGAAAGTTGTGAATAGATTCCTCAGGTATAATCAAGTGTCTCTTTTTGTGAAGCACTGCAGAGAGAAATGGGACATATAAAGGCCGTTCTGTGCATCGAAATTGGTGCACCACCGCTCCATGAGCATGTCTGTCTGCAAAGGTGCTTCATGCCACTCTGCCAGAAACTTCTGCTGTCTGGATTCCTTTAAATTCATTTTAAAAACTAGAAAACAAGTCTTTCAATGAAAGTATAGAGAAAGCAAATGGCCCTAAATAGAAAAATTAATAAGGAAACCAGGACAGCAGTACTGTAAACATTGATAAGTATAATATTGCTTCTGAACTAGATACCAGAAAACCTCATTGAAGCGCTATTGTTTTGAAATTTCCCCCGGCTGGGAAATTGCATTCAGCACAGGAGGACAGCAGCACTGGAGACACTGAAGTCCTGGCCTGCATGTCTCACTAGAAACAACTAAAATTGGCAATATGCAACCCTTTCAAAATGGTCTAAACTGAAGGGAAGTCCGAGAGAACGTTAAGAATCTCATCCCTCAAGGATCTGAGAGTTTTTCTTCATGGTGGCTATTGACCCAAAGACAGCCTATCAATGACCAAATGGTTCTTCTTTCTAGAACCCATCCCACTGAATGTTTCCACTAGTTTTGGGTTCAAACTCACAAATAAGTGAATTGAATGCGTGTACTTATGTAATCAGTAGCTGTAAGAAACATTAGACATATAGCACTATTACTCATTCAAAGGAGTAATTTCTTCCTCAAAACTACTTTAAGACAATACCTGTTTGTGACCATTCTTTACTTTTGGCGCTACCTATAATGATGAGCAATCTAGTTTATGGAAAACTTGTGTCACTCTTTGTAAAGGGGCAATTTTTAAATGCATGTTTTCTGTGTTTTGGTTTAAACTGGATTGTTTCATGTGATCTTAAATAGTTTACACTTTAAAATGTCATCTCTAGTTTTATTTTTAATTACAATATTGACTTTATGGAAACCCAAACCCCCAATAATTTGCAATTTAGTAAAGACTGATTAAATGAGAACACAAAAAATGGGTTTGTTTTCTGATGTTTGTTAGCCCTTATAAAACAAATGACCCTGACTAAATAAAAGAAGTGCCATGGTTTGAATTTGGACCTTAAAGTTCAAATTAATCAAATATTTGAATGCTGTTCAAGCTTCTCTTCAGCTGAGATTTAAAATAATAGCACCCTAAAGCCTAGTTTGGCAGCCTGCTTTATAGAAAATGCCTTTTCATTGTTTGCACTGCATTAACCTTTACTATTATAGGAAAATGGTGTTGCTGAGAAAGCCCACAAAAAATCTCGCCTTCCAACTCTGAGCCAGCCTTTGACGAGTGATGAACAAAGCCAGGCCATCTGCTCTGAATATCATTACCATTTGGGCCATTTGGGTATGGAATCTATCTTCTGGGCTTCAATGAGAGGCTTACGATTTAGACGTTGAAATGGTGTGAATAGTCAGGAAAAGATACTTGGGGGGAGGAAAAAACCACTTCAATGAGGGCCACATTTGTAAAGTTATTATTCTCACCCGTCATTGTAAATTTTACCTGTCTGCTGTTGGGAACCCCATTTTATGAAACATTTCCGTTAACAAAAAGCCGAAAGCAAACCAACCAAGCACTACTGCAATTTTATGCCAGAGTTTCTGCAGTCAGCACCTAGAATGGAAAATGGGTGTGTGGGTGACAATGACTCGCAGGCCCTCCCTCTGTTCTCCAGAGATTCTCCATCGGAAAACCAGAAACATGGCTTGAGTTCATGTTTCTCCTTCACGGGAATAACATTATGCCCAGGGCCGTGCTAATCTCCTGAACTAAACAACTCCTAATCTATGGAAAGACAACTGCGAACTATTGGTTTCCGACTAGGGCCCCATCTGTTCCCCTGCACAGGGTCTCTGCCTTACTTCCCCACTTTCCTTTTCTCTCAAGCAGGTGTCTCTTAGTCTTCAGGGGTGTCATTTCACCTGAAACCTGGAGGCTTTGTCTAAATGACAAGACCCAGATGGGCTGACTGCAGTTTGGCGCAGGCGATAGCAGAGATCCTGACGGTGATGGTGATGGAGGCGGTGATGGGGGTGTTGATGGTTTAAAGGAGCACTAGGTGTGAGGGCGCCACGCTGGGAGGGGGAAGATGGATAGAGAAGGCGGTGGGGTGCGGGGAGCTGGAACCGTGGGGATGGATTACAGAGGGGAGCTGTCCACGGACGGACGCGCTGAAACGCTGCGGCCATGGCATCTGCAGGCAACGCAAGAGCAGAGAGGAAAAGCAGGAGGAGCTACACGTACAGAAGGGAGAGAAAAAAGGGCAACAAATACCTTCACATGGCCGCCCAACCTTGCTTTGGAAATGTGTTTCTGCAAGTGTCCTCGTTGCTGAGCTGGGTGGGTGAGATCTCTTATTCTGCCAGGTGCGGGCTCATATTTCTCTAGAAAGCTGTGAATGAAAGCCCCTGCTCCACTGGGCTGTGATTTTGGTAGGAGGCCAGTGCACTAGTCTCTCCTTCTATACGCAGCTTGAGTTTCCCCTGGGTCCTAAAGACCTCCGTGTTGCTCCTCTCTCCAGGTCTGTCAAGACAGTACCAAGAATTATTGTAACTTAAAATATTTGGGTCAGAAAATACTAGAGCCACTACTTTCTCTACAATATTAAAATCAGAATATCTCAAACAAATTAATGCAAACTCCAAAACAGGCCTGGATGTTATGTGCAGGCATATACATGTAGCATGTATGTATGCAGGTGTCTGCATGCGAGTGTGTGCGTAGCGTGCGTGCATGCATGCATGCGTGCATGTGTGTGTGCGTGTGTGTGTGAATTTGATCAATGAGAAAGGAAATGTCAAAGTCTATGGAGATAAGGATGGATTATTTTGTTCATAAATGGTGTTTAGGAAGTATATTCACAATCTGAATAATAACATGATTGTATAAAATTCTTCAGATTGTCAAATATTTTTATATAAGCATAACTGACCATTTTGAGGGAAACTGCAATAAATATATATTTAATACATAGAATATCTCATAATTCAAAAGAAAAGCACTAACAACCTAACTGGGTTGTGGG